AAAAAAAAAAAAACATGAAAAAGTATTGACTCACTTATAAACATTATTATACTGTACACATATGCTACTCTTATGTAATGATAAATTTAATTATTACATTTTATATATCAATTATAATCTCGAAAAAAAAATTAAATGAATCCTGTATTTTTTCAATTGTTATTTTCCACCTCACATGTTCAATATCAACAAATTTTTTTTCAAACTTTTGAATATGGCACCCTTTACTTTCCATTTGTCGTATTCACAATACAATATTTTGGGAGATTATACGGTCCCGTTATGGGATCCCTAGCTTTCAAACCTTTCACGTTTACCACTTCCCTTAGCGCATTACTTCGCGAATTTGGAAGAGCTTTTTGATCAGCTCGAGAGAGAATCGACGTCTGTAAGTCCCTCGGTTGCTATTTCGGTTACGTGATCCTACCTTAGGTCTCTGACTAAAAAGATTAAGATATTTGGGTTTGAGAAAAAAAGGTATTTCTTGATAGTGAATAAGAGATCTTAATATATCCAGATATTTCATCAAGACATCGTTCAGGTACCTGTATATACTGCTTTTGGGCAACCTTCTGAACAACTTAGAGAAAGAGGTGCAAAAGCTTCGCAAGGTCGGTTTTATTAGGTATGGAGGAAAAGCACCCGGACGACCTCTACAGATTCGCCCATCCGCGCCCCTTTCGGCATTGACTCTTACCTTATATAGTCATGCCCTTCGGGTTAAAAAAAATGCAGGATTTCGTTCGTCGGGGTTTGTAACCGCTACATCAACTATTCACGACGATTACATGATAATTTAACGGTTACAAGGCCCTACGGAATGATTCCGTAACAGGACTATAACATCCCCAATGTTTTAATGTCTTAAATGTATAATTTTTTCCACATCCTTTTCAAACTCTTGAAATATTTTTCAATGGAGAGGCACTATATTTTGTACAGTAGTATTTTATATTGAAGTATAATTTGAGATTCTTTTTTTCCTTTTGATTTTAAGTTGAAGTTTTACTCCCTTTTGTTATTGAAGAATTTTTCAAAGGTGCATGAAATTCAACGTTTTCATTTAATGTAAAGATTGACTATTTCTTTCATTCTTTTTTTTCCCATTAATGTTTGACAAAGTATAAAGAAATAATTAATGTTTTTCAATTAAAACAATCTCAAAACCATGCATATTCGTGATGTACTAAATTATTACTATTTGTTAGCTTTATTGTTATATTTCCAAAAAGATTCAACCCCAAAATCTAAGGTTACAAATATTAAATTAAACAGAATATTGAGCACTTCGAGATAACACATGCATGCATATTCATTCATTTTTAAAAGCATAGCTGTAATTAAATTTAATAATTGAGTGTTGTCATCTTCTCCAAAATAATTGTATTATAAGATGAGATACCATGATCATATAAACCACTAATTTAAATTTAGAAAATAGATTTAAATAAGAAGTTTTTGCATATAATTTAAATTGATGCTAAAGCCTAAATGCATATATTTTACGTTTTTAATGTCAATAGATTTCAATTCATTCCATGCAATACTATTATTGAAAAATGGCATTGTCAAATTAATGTCTGGTTAAAAAATAAGATACAATCACGAATGTGTATATAGTATGTTATAAAGTATTAAACTTTTGATGGTTATATATAAATTAACTTGCGGGAATAAGGCCGGTCGTTTAAGTAGATTCGACCCTTACGCCCGATCACGTGGAGAGTTAGAATTGTTAAAACAAAACAAGTTGTTCGTGAGCTCACACTACAAGAAAATGATAAAATTCCAACAGAAATTTATTATAATAGAATGATTCCAACGACAATTCCAACGAATGTTTCAATACTTATATTTCCGTTGAATTTTTTCAATGGATTCCA